TGTTTTTGATGCTGCAATGAATGCAGACTCTGAAGAGCACAACTTTTTCTCTATTTAAATTCTCTCTCCTCCAACTCTGTCTTCTCCTGAGATTGAAATATCAGTGTAGAAACATACTGAAAAAAAAAAAMCAGTAAGTTTTTGGGAAACCTCTTAGGATACACTTAATTTTACTAAAATTTAGCTTTTTAAAAGATAGGTCAACAGATTAGACTCAAGGACTTAGCAGAAAAAAAAAAATCAGTCAATCCTTAGATTGCCCTTCTCCTGTTTTAGAAGAGGACAATCCAATTTAGAAGACCAACCTGGTCCTTTTCTGCCATGTGAAGTAAATGGCTTATAACTAAATAACTCTGTTTTCAGAGTCTTAGCCCCACAATCAGAGCTGTGATGGAAACCATCTCAGTACGGAATATGAAAAGGTACAAGGATACATGGGTGTGCATGAGAGGGGCAAATAGAATTTAATTTTAGCCTGAATGCATTAATATTACTTAAGAAAGAACTAGCAGTGGATCCAATCTTATTTTGCAAAGTAATCCCTGCACCTCAGAAACAGATTTGCCCATGAAGAGGAAAATTCCGCCTCAAACCACAGCTCCACTGAAATCTCAGGACTGGGAACTCTTTTAGGTATTAAGGGTAACAGTTACTGAGACAAGAGGAATGGTTAGCAAACCTGTTAATGTCCAAACTCAGTCCCACACTGACATAATCCCAAATATGATTTTAAAAGTCTTTCTATCACACAATATGGTCCTTCCAATGCTCTTACTCACACAGCAGGTGTTAAACATGGGAGCACTTCACAGCTCTGTATTAGGTCCAAGATGAATAGGTAACTTTAGGTGACTGTAGGAAGCACTGAAAAAACAGGGAACATGTATTTTTCCAAGACACTCTGGGGCCTTTCTTGGAACATACTTTTAAAATACAAAGTGTTCTGCAAATGCTTAACACTTTATAAACATTCTCAGTCACATTTATCCAAATCAGGGAGATGTACTGGGCCACACAACCTAGCTTCTTTTGGATGGAGATTTTCAATGAGTTGTAAACACTCAGAATGGGAAAAGAAAGCATCACTACAAAAATAACATTTAATTATCATAATTATTGCTTGTAGTCTGTTTCCAAGCAAATATATTAAATATGACATTATGACATATAAACAAGTACTGACTTCAACCCAATTTTGTAGCAATCTGCATTATATTGTACTATTAATCTCTTCTACTAGTCAGATTTATCTTCTGCCTGACATTGTTTCTAATTCCCTTGTAGCTGAGCTTCAGTGTAAGTTTTGCAATAAGTGACAAGTGATGAATTAGTTTCTGATTGGCAAGAATAAACTTACTGTTTTAAGGCTAGAATGTGAATGTATAGCCAAAGAATAGCTTCCTTAACATTCTAAACTTGCCATAATTCTACAACTCTCAATGCCATTTTAATGTTCTAGCTCTTTCCCAAACGAAATGCACCTTGAAGAATTTCATGGGCCATAAATACAACATTTTCCTAAACCACAATTTTACCTTAATAGAGTGACACAGCAAATAGGATTAGAATCTTGATTGATTCAATACATGTTTTCCTCATCTTTCTGCTCTACCTGGAGCACTCTGAAGTGTCTAGGAAAACATACTGACTAATAAAACTAATAGTTATGTAACAGGGGTCCTAATCAGTGAGAGTCACACACTGCTCCTGTGACCCTGTATGCCCAATTTTCTCTGCATGGTGGGTTGATTTAAGTCATGTGGCAAGTGCTAAAGTTTCTTCTGAGGAATAACATAGGAACAGAAGTCATTGCTTGGCATGACTGCATCAAGGAATGTTGCTGACAGCCAGGAGAGATCAAAAGCAGATCAAGTTGCTTAACAAGATATATGTCACTGAAGTCAAAAAGGCTGAAGTGGGAATCCTGGAGAGCTGTGAAATCTACGAGCAACAGATGGAGCCAAACTCACTTGATTTGTTAGTAAGAAGATCTACCTGCTCTTTAGTCTTCTATCTTACAAAAAAATATGGTATATAAATTTTAACTTTGGGATCTGTATTATCCAAAAACTATAATTTCTGTCTTATTCATCTTGGAACAGGCACATGGCATGCTTGTAGAAGTCTTTTGGATTTACACTTTTAATCTGAAATACTAGAAGAGATTTTCTTTTCGAAGATTTTACAAAGTGCCAAGGCATAAGGTTCATAAACACTTTAAAATGGACAATAGCCCAATAGTCAAAAGGGAAGAAAGCACAGAAGTCTGAATATCACAAATTCTTTTCCTTTTTAAGCAGTTAGCGTAATAACTCTAATATAAGCATAAGACCAAACTCAAAACTGTGAAAGAGCATGCCAACAAGATTATTTTACTGAATCATTAAGATTATTTATATCTGAATGTCTCTGTGTCTGCTACTGACATCTTGAAATGGAAAAATACAGCAGTACTAAAATGATCTATGGTTGTTAGGGCTATTAAACTTTTTTTTTTTTTAATATCATAGCCTTCCTCTACTTTGTGGGTATTTTGCTGGGTTTTTTTAAGCTCCCCCAAAATTTTATGAAAGGGTCTTTCTGGAATAAAATATACTTTTGAGCAATGATCATAGAATGTTTTCTAAGACAGAAATAAAATACCTTTGGAATATTTTTTTTCCTGGGTGAACCAATATCTCCTTCCTCCATTGTAACAAGCATGATCTCACTGCATGATTTTCAGGGTATTTGAAGCTAACATGAGCAGAATACCCTTGAACTGGTGATACTGCCTGCACCAATGCTACATGCAATTTTCTTGGTCACAAAGAACAAAACAATCACCCTCACCAAATGGTGAAATATACTCTTGACATCTGCCATCTAATTACTGTTGAATCAAAATTCAACGTTAACAGTCCACATTTCAATATAGAACTGTAATGTATTCTGGGCATGCATTTCTATGACTTTAAAGATAGTGTTTCCCAGGAATAATCAATACTAATTTACTTGCACTGACTTCAAAAGAGTAGGTTCATATTTAGAATTTTATCAGAATTTTCTCAGCATCATACAACCCTCTTCCTATTCAGTCATTTAATGAGGCACTTACTACCTCTAGTAACTCATAAGATTCCATGTGTTCATTAGCAAACCTGGTAGTGTACTAAAAGGAAATGCAGAGAAAAACCCCACTTTGAAGTAATTTTACCCATTCCATTAAAATTAGCACTCTATGTAGAAATGACTGTCATTAAGACAGGCTATACTATCTCACTGAAAGCATTATAACAATTAAGCTATTGCAATATCCAGAATTTATAGCTTATTACTAAAATTTTCTGCTACTGCTCTTGTGATAATAAAATATTTTAACACAAATTATTTTTAATTTAGATTAACACTTTTCTTTGGAAAAGAATGTCAACACAAAGCATTTAGTATCTCTGGAGACTTAAAAAGTCATGACTGAGATTGCAGTCTGGGGCTGAAATAGTCACTTCATATTCAGGAGAGAATGAAGATGCTGATGCTGTCCCCAAAAAAGTTTGTAATAGGGAAAGAGCAATTCTGTTTGTAGTTATTCTTCAGTTTCATTAATTACGGAACAGACTAACAACTGCCTCAGGACTGGATTGGAAGCACAGAAGGAATTCAACTGCAATCTGATGGCAGACCGAAGCATGTAATTTCCATTTTTACAGAACCCCTGCTTTGATCACTGCACAGCGTGGATTTATTCCACAAAGATTTATGCCTGTATGTAAATTTCAACCTTGATCTAAAAATATTTAAACTTCCTCGTACACAATGAAACTTTTTAAATTTGTGAGGAATAAAATCTGACCCCCCGGATATTCGTTAACATGTGCCTGAATTCAAGTACCTTTTTTTTAAAATAAAAGCTAAGTATCTTTTATAAGTGCAAGATTGGGGATCAGATATGAGATTATCTGGAAGTTGCAAGAAGTATAGAAACAAGTCCTCATGTTGAACTGTGAGATTTTTGCTCCCTAGATTGTTCAGGAGCAGCAAATAAAAGCTGCTTCAGTTCACTCCTCACACAAAGTATCCGAAGTGATCTTGATACCACCTTAAATATTACCTCAAAATAATTTTTAAATATCCAAACAGAAAGTTTGATAGGGGCTAGAAGGGAAGGTGAGATATCATCCAGGAACCATGTTATGTTTTTGTTTTAATAGAGAATCTTCCATTCTAGGTTCTTCAGGGATTAATGGATTACCAAACTTCCTAGGTCTCTAGAGGGATGGCATTTAAAAGCAGCAAGGCAAGAGTAATACAAAGATCACTCCTTGGTTTTTATCTCTCCCTCAAAGATTTAACACAGTAACAGAACTGGCTAGTTTAGCAGAATTTTTTGGCAGAACCATTGAAGCTCATTGATCTTTTGTGCAAACTACCCTTGCTTAACAAATTCAGTGTTTAGATCCCCATCCTATTAAGAAATATATGATACATGTAGTTCATCAAAGTTGAGCAAATATGTTTAAGCATATTGAATTCATTTAAAGAAAAAAATACATAAGAGGAGAAAAAATACTTCCTTTGCATATTACTTTTCAGCAATGTCCAATTATTTCAAGTGTTATTAGTAACATCATATATATTACTTTATCCGCTAGATAGTATTTGGACCTGGTTGTAAACCTTTTCTTTCTTTTTTTTAGTCATGGACATGGAAAAAAAATTGAAATCACTTTGCAAAAAAGAAAAACTAAATTAGATATTTGCTTTCATTTTGAAACAAAATATTTAACTTAACTGTTTTGATGCTGTTTAATTTAAAAACCTCTTTCAGGTTATATACAGAAAATTATATATTATTGCGTAAATGGTCATGGAAAAGGAAATTAAAGAAACAAACTGGTAATTGAGAAGTTAAAAATACAGAGCTATTTTTTCAATGTAATCTAATTTCTCAAAATGACACAAACAAGAACAGAAGTGATATAGTGGTAACATGTAATTAGCACTTAATCTGGGTTCAGTACCTCGCAAATCTTTCCTCATTTTGCGGAGATCTTTTTGAAAATCATCAAACTTCAGCTGTGAAGCCTGGAAGAGATCTTGTGGATCCGGAAGAGGAAAGATGCATTGTTCTCTTCCAGCATCCTGACAGAAGCACAAATGAACAGTTGCATAGCGCTCATTACGTTTTTTTTCTATATTAAAATATGCGACTGAAAGCACAGAGAATATTTGTACACATTTTTTCATCTCACCAGAAGAAGAGCAAATTTAGTAAGCTGGGTTGCTTAACTTGAATTTAAAAGAGTAAATTTAATTTTCACTCACCTCATCAAAATTACGCAAGTAATATGAGACAATGTACGATAGAAGACTTCTGCTGTTGTCCTGTATAAAAGAGCATAGAGTACGCTGTGTTACTGAAACTCA